AATCAGAAGCGCAACAAATACAAGCAAGTTTCCCATTTTATATTCCAAGCTGTTTGAGTAAGCCTTTGTTCTGTTTCCCCTCTACCCCTCCCTTCCTGACAGCAGTTACAGCAGGCACTACATTGTGGCGTGTTAGAAAAGTTCTCATCCACATGTTTATCTTTGGCCTTGCAAGCCTAGAGACATGGAGACTTCCCCCCCGCCTCTTTCCCCCTCCTTATCACTACTGCTTTTGCTAGTGTGAGCGAAACTGCAGCTGTCTGCAAAAAAAAGCTGACCGTTACATATTCTGCTTCAGCATTTAGGCTGTTAGCATGGAGGCTGGTTAAAGTTCACAAGATGGAGTTACTTTGGCTCACTTAGACCCAGAGCAGGGGGGTTTCATCGGCACTTATGGCCGTCCATCCCCCCAAGTTACCTGGTAGCTATGCCTAGTGGCACCAACAGCAAGGTCTGGCGCCAAGCACGCAGGCCCCAGTCACCTTACACCGGAGGTGGCCCGAGGGCTGTGGGTAACCAACACTCCTCCTGCTTGGTGAAGGTGGCTGGCTGAGATCAGGGTTAAGATGTGCCCACCCCTTCCTGCCATGAGGGTCAGCAGAGAAGGTTTGCCAGCCCACAGGGTGTCACCTGGCCTTTGGCCCGCAGAGAGGACAGGAAAGCCTGCAATAAGCTGCTGCAGCCATAGGCTTGGTGCCAGCTCCAGGGGAGCCTGGGCTCTTCAGGCAGCAAGGGACGAGGACACAGGGCGGGGGGCCGTGGAGCTGGTGTGCGGGGCCCTCAGGGTGGGGGGAGACCACATGGGTCTCTCCAAGTGGGAAGAGCTGCATGCTCAGCTCCTTGGGCAGGGGCTGGGATACCCCCCGCCCCCAGGGAATAACGATGTCCCAGAGGCTGTGTGGGGAGGTGCCCAGGTGGCCTCCCCCAGGGGCTGTGCAGGGCCTTTGCAGCAGTGGGACATGGGCAGAGATGCCCTTGGGGTGGGGGTGGGGGCAGAGGGCTCAGGGCCTGCTCCCGGCCCATTGGGATTGGGATTGCTGGGGACTGCTGGCCGTAGGGGTTGGGTGCCAGGCTGAGCTGGCCTCGGGGATATGGCATGGCTCCGTTTGAGGCCTCAGTACTGTCTGTGGAATCTCAGCTTGCATTTAAAAGAACAATTCCTCTCCCTGGTGGGCCCCCACTCCACCTGGCTGAGCCTGCAGACGAGAGCCTGCAGGGGAGACCGGCCCTGCGGGCTGGAGAGCCTGGGGCTGCAGGAGCCATCTGAGACGGGAAGGAGGCTGCAGTGCAGAGGGCGAGTCAGGCCTGCCGGGGGAAGCTGGAGGGAGAGCCAGGGAGTGTGGCCGCTCGGAGCAGGGAGAGCTCCAGCCCCTGACTGCGAGACCCGAGGGGAACTGAGAGGCTGGGTGGGCAGAGCACTGCGGCCCAGTGGAGCAGCCCGGGCTGAGTGGGGGAGAAGAGGTTCCCCCATGGCCCCAAGGAAAGGGGTGCACAAGCCCCTCACAGGGGTTCTAGAGCCCAGCAGGGGTTGGCAGGCTGAGGAATAGCCCCTGAGAGGGCGGGAGGATTTGGTTTGTGTGAGGGACGTTTGGGGACCCGGAAGGGGTGGACGTAAGAGGTCGATCTGGCCGAGGGGTTGCTTGTAATGGCAGGAGGCAGAGGCTGGGCAGCCCTGGGTCTCTCCCGGTTTGTCTTACGTTCCTATAGCTCATGCTGCAGGGCTTCAGCGTCCGGGAGGGGTTTCCACCCCCCACCCCAGTGTCTTCTGGGGGGGTGTCAATCTCCTCCTGAAGCCGCAGGTCTGGCTGGGGCTGGGGCTGGGGCTGGGGTGCTGGGCAGGGGCGGGGCTCTGCGGTGGCACCCGGAGCTCTCTCCCTCGGGGGTTTGGCTGGCTGGTTCCTGCTCACAGGCCGGAATTCCCCCAGGTCAGGTTGGCAGGGACGTGGGGGTTTGTCGCCCGGCTCGGTAGCGGGTGGGGGTCACTTGACAGGATTATCGGGGTGTAGCTCCCTTTGTTGTTTTCCGGGCACTGGTGAGCCTCACTCCCCATTCTCTGCCTGGCACAGGGCCGTCCTCTCCTGAGGGCTGTAACGCGTGGTCTCAGTCCGGTTGTTGGGGTTAGTGTGCGGGTGCTGGGGCCTGTGCTATACAGGGGGTCAGGCAGGATGTCTGGCGCTCCCTTCTGGCCTAGAACTCCATGACCACAGTACCAGAGTGATCGTCAGCCGGGGGCGGGGGGCGCACTAGAGAAGTGAGAGCCGCTATGCCATACCTGACCACAAGGGGGCACCTCACAGTGAATATACTCGTTTACAGGGAGAACTGCACCAGTCAGCCTGATGGGAAGTTAACTCTGAAACCTAACAATGCCCTCTTCACTGCTGATTAGGCACGTGGAATGTGCAGCTAGTCTGGGATTGTGGGCACAGCTTGTGGTTGAGGGTGGGGTTTGTGTGGAGCTCCTCCCCATTCTGACCCATGCTAGGTTGATGGCATTACCCAATTTCAGAAACACATTCAAATCCCTTCTAAGAAGGTTCCAGCTCACCATCCCTGCCTTGGCCCTAGCCCGTTTTCACAGCATCACCAAAGCTGTTGCGCTGAGATGAGTCTCAGAATGTGCCTGGGGACGGCAAGGCTGGGGCCCAACCGGACCCCTGCTGCAGTGGGCTCCATGCCTTGGGACCTGCTGCTCCCACTTGCCATCCCGGGGGGTGCAGACAACGCAGCTGAGCCGCAAGGCTCTTGGAAGGAGGGCAGCAGAGACACCCCTGCCCAGCAAAGGGCGCTGCACACCCTGCACGTCGCTGCAGCTGAGCCTCACCCTGGAGGGACTCGTGAGACAGAGTGTGTCCTTCACTGGCCCTGGCCCAGCTGGGGAGGGTTGTGCGTGGCTGATCATCGACGAGCTGTGGTTTGTGTCTCCGGAGGCAGCAGCCCCTGTGGGGAGATGACTTCCTGCAAAGGTGTATCTGCTGCTTTCACATGTGAAAAGGGTGAGAAAAGGCCACCTTGCCTCACAGCCCCACCAGCCCTCTGGGGAAGACCCTGAGGCTGCAGCCTGACACGGATGGCCCTTCTCCAGCTGGCCCCGTGCTCAGGGCACTGAGCGGCCAAGATCCTGCTTCCCTTCTCCTTTCAACATGGCTCTGGCTGGGAAGATTCCTGCCACTTGCTCGGGTGAGATTGTGACCCATGGAGGGCAGTGAACAATTCCAGACCCTGCCCTCATCTGCCCTTCTCTTTGCCTCCCACATCTGTGTGTCTAGTGAGGCCCCCTCCCTTGTGTTAGTGACCCGGACGTGCACCCTGAACGCCAGCACCCCCACGCTGGCTCGGAGCTGGCAGCCCGTCGCTTGGGCTGAGGTTTGCAAAACATGGCCAGTGACTCTGGGTGTCGCGTTCGCACGCATGATGTGGCCCGGTGGTCAGCGGTGCATTAATGGCACCTGCAGCAGTTGAAATCAATAGGGGCTGTGGGTGCTCAGCATGCCTGGGGGGCGGGCCCAAAGCCCCTCCCATTGGGCACCCAAAAACCCAGGGCCCTCTTTGAAACAGCCAGCCTTGGCTTTCTCCTAGTGCAAAGCTGAGGGGCGAGTGAGCAATTGAGCCTGCCCATGCTCCCCAGGCCTCCAGCAGGGTGGGCGAAGGCAAAATAGCCACCGTCCCCCTCTCGTTCTTGTGCCGTCCCACTCCTGGACTGGCAGGAATCCACCAGTAACCAGCTGAGGGGCTGGAGAGGGAGGCGCGTGGAGGAGTGGGGAGCAGATAGCAGCGCACCCTAGGGGAAGAGGCTTGACGCTGCGCCTGTGATGAACAGATGCTGCTCCCCGGCTTGGGAAAGGTGCTCCCCACGCAGACTGTCCCAGCTGCCCTGGAGATGCAGGTGCCCTTGGCAGGCTGAGCTGAGGGCAAGTTAAGGGGGAGCCGCTTTTTGTGTCCTGAGGTGTGAGCAGCAAAGCAGGAGTTCAGGAAACCCCCTCCCCACCCCACCTCTCCCCACTGGAGATCTCAGCCTGGGCTGTGGGGAGGGGGCCCATCAATAGGGGCTCAGCCTGCGCCTCACTTGATATCTGGAAAAAACTCTGCTCAAAAAGCCCGAAGGGCTGGACTAGCAGGGGGCTGTGGGTGGGGCTGGAGGGTCACTGTCAGAGCTGTGTGTGTGAGGGGAGCCGGGATTCAGGGGCAGCGGCAGCGTTATCTGTGTGGGGAGCCCCGGAGCGGAATAGCAGGGGGGCCGCGGGTCAGGATTGAGCTGTAGTGTGGGGGAGCTCAGGGCTCAGACAGCAGGGGGAAGGGGGAAGGAGAAATAACTGTTTCTGCACTTGCATTGAGCTCCTCTTCCCTGCCAAGCCAGAGCAGTTTGTGGGCTGCTGGCCCTGGTGTTTGTCTCCTCGGCAGGGCACTGTTGTTTCAGGTGAACGCCTGTCACCATCTCTGGGCCCGCGTGGGCTGCTAGCTTGGGCGGTTTCATTTCGCTCCACTTGCTCTCTGGCTGAATCTCGGCTGAGGGGCAGGAAGCGGCAGCTTGAGGGAGGAGGGGGTGCAAAGCAGCGGCACTACCGGTTGGTAAGTAACCTCATCGCTTCCTCTGAGCAGGGCCAGTTTCGTTCTGACTGCAGGCTGGGCTGAAAGATGCTGCTCTGGTAGCCCGTGCTGCTACCTTGGCCAGTCTGCCAGGAGCTCCAGAGATGGCTCTTTCCCCGGGAGGGATCCCATGCCACCTGCAAGGTAAGCAGCACCTTTTCAGAGCTTCCCAGAGCCACTGAGGCCATGTGGAAGGTGGTGAGGCTTGGCTTGCTCCCTGCGTGCTCTCTGCATGCTTTGTCACGGGGGCCAACTTCACAGGATGGGAGCTGGGTCTTTGTTTCTTCATTTCTCCAGATGTTGTAGAGGGGAGAGCAAGGGGCTGGGACTCAGGACTCCTGGGTTCTCTCCTGGCTCTGATGCCGACGTACTGAGTGAGCTTGGGAAAGTCGCTAGGACCAAAATGTGCATTAATGTAGGGTGCCCAGCTTGGGCCATGCTCTTCAGAGGAGCTGACGATCCTATTGTTGCTAACGTGATTTACGGGTGTTCAGCCCCTCTGCAAACCGGGCTCTGAGTCCCAGCAGAGTCCTCGCAATCCACCCCCAAAGTGGCCGCTTTGGAGAACTTGGCCTTACCAGCATTTGGCTGAGCACAGGAGGGTCTGTCTGTAATGCGATAACTTTTGAACACCTCATCTGATCTAGGCCAAAGTTTCAGGGAATCTTCTTGGCGTCTGTGGGCAGAGCCCAACTGGTCCTCACCAAAATCAGAAGAATGGAAGGGGAAAACTG